GTCGGTCACTTCAAATGAAATCTCAGGAAATGGCAACCGTACAAAACCGTGATTTTCTAAAGAGATGAATCTTCAAAAGAGGTCGCTTCGGAAAGCGATCTTGCCAATTTGTTCCCTCGGAACGAGAAATTGTAGCCGAGCTATTCCAGCTCTAAAGACGGTCTACAGAGGCTCACCAAAGTTGATCATTTTGGATACTTGGTCCCTTCTGTGAGAGGTCTAACCTTTCGAATAGTTGTATCACAATTGTAGGCCACTCATGTGAAAACCATGTTTTGGGACTCTCGATCAGTTGGAAGTGGGTGCATCTGTGGCATTAATCGGACACCCAATTGGTGTAAAAATACATGAAGGTTCATGACATTAATTTCACATCCTGGTATCGGTTGGTGTGGTATTTTGTGCCACGGGGACATGAGGAACAGACTCCGCTGAAAGGCGGTCTTTAGTAGCTTAGTCTCAGAGCCAGAATAAACTGATCATAGACAAATGGAGGTGGTTTCTATTGGGCGTGTTCATAAGTACCATGGATATTGGCGGCAAAATGGTAGCTGGTTTGAGTTCAGAGACTCGCGGTTTCGAACCAAACATTATTGCTTCATGATTGTGAAGTATCTTATGCTGGCGGAAACAAGTCAACCGTAGCCGACCCAATTCGTGATCTGTTGACAACACTCAATCAGCTGTGTCTGATAAGGAACTATGTTCGGGTAGTTCCCCTATCGCTGCAGTGCGTTATCCAGATTCATATGTCGATGTGTAGTCAGATCCTGTACGAAAGTTCCACCGGGTTGAAATCGAAAAGCTCAAAAGACATGAACGTATGAGCACCAATGGAGTGTAAACAAGTACAAAACTAGAAGAAACGGAAATTCGGCTACCATTCTTGAAGCTCTTAGAAGAAGGTTGTCTACTATGTATCGAAACTGGATGCGAATGTGGTTGCTCATGCATGCCATGAGAACATGCATCTCCTGCTTCACACTATTCTCAATCGTTTCTGAATCGAGCTGGAAGCTGTTTGTTCTTACCTGCAGCCCAACAGTCCTCCATGAGGTCATGCAGTTAGGGGAGCAAACCAACAGCCTTAGATGTGCGGTAGCTAGCTCCGATTTACCGCAGTACCTCGGCGTTTTGCATCCCATGATAAGCAGATCGCCCATAGATGACAGTCCCGGTTAGAACGATACAGAAGGACAAAATATTTGGTTTACTTATATATCGGGGGTAGTTGACAGTCTCTAGAGTCCATTTGATAGAAAATCGTGCTCTAGCCTGAGCGACATTCTCACTTTTCGAATCACACGCGCAAGACCGAAGTCGGTAATTTTCACGTGTTTTTACCAATAAGGATGTTTCGCACTGCCAGGTCGCAGTGAAAATGCCGTCCGAATCCCAAGCAAGCAACCTAGAAGGTTATTTTAGGTACCATATTTACTAGGTACTTTGGATTCAGATTATGGCCAAGATTGAAGACAGGATAGGTGGCTAGCTTCAGACTGTTTCACACATCGCAGTTCTTCTAACAGTGACCAAAATTTTGGCTGCGATAGTTGCTCCATTCATTCACATGTGTTTCTCTTTTCTCCCATAATGTGTGATCGCGGAGTTGGGTCAGGCTGAAGTGGTGCAGCTGTTTCATTAATCGTGAACCGCCTAAGAAATTAGTCTCATCACAAGAACTTGATTTTAAAGTTTTCACAGCCACCATGTACGCCTCACCGAACTGTCCGATTTGTTGCTCAAACCCAATGGAGGATTTGGGACCTATTTATCGATGGGCTTGTGGGAAAAACCGATGGATCCTGGTCGGACAGGCTCAATAGAGGATTCACATAAACGACGGAACCCTCATCTGACAGGATGCTGTACTGTGCAGGAAACCCACCGCATGTCAATTTCTGTGAGATTTCGAACGCATGACATTCAGATATATAAGTTTCTTTACCATTATTTGGTATTCGATAAAATGGATGTTAGCATCACAACAAGATAGAAACTATTGCCAGTTAATGCATGCGATATGGGCGAACTATTTTTTGATGAAATTAATCAAATTCTCGAGTGTTCCTCCTCGGAGAGCTCGTGCACTACATGTTGCCTCTTGGGAAGCGATACAATGTATGCTCCAGGGGAGAGGCTTCTAATCGGGCGAGGGTCTCTCATAACGATTCAGCTGATAGTTGATATCGCTGTGCCTTATGGTGTCATAACAATCCTGGCTTGTGTTCACGTACTGTACACGAAGTGAGAGTCGACGGTTTTATACACTGCGGGCTAAAGGGTGGTGAGCTGGATAGTTTCAGAGCAACAGGTCTACACAAAAATTTAAAAATTCTCATGTAAATGTAAGGAATGTGTTCAGGTTGTATTCAGACTTTCTCAAGTTAGGTTAGACCTTTCGTTCGTATGTACACGCATCCCAGTAGACTACCAAACTACATTTTACTCTGTCGTGGATGACAGTGAATGCTTGTGTGACCACTTCAAGACCTCTGCTTGAGGGAATCTCTTCCAAAAATTACTGTTTATGCAGCTGAAAAGTGTTGGGAAACCTTACTCGTTGGAAATAAACTTGTATATACTATAATTCGTCCTTTGTCTACTTAGAACCCTAATGTAGAAAACCCATGTCTCAAATCTGACATCCTGGTCTATGTTCCGGAGTTAAACTGCTCCTGCGGGACATTGAGAGTGGCCCCCGATGATAATTAAGGTATCACTTCTAAGCCATACCTAACGGAACGGAGAAAGTACTATGCTCCAACCGTTCTTCCTGATCTAACAGAATGATAAACTCAACGGTGTCTGTTTCATTAATAACATTTCCTATCCTCATAGCCGCTCCTGTAACAGCATACAATATTCAGTGCTGAGACTTCAGTTCAAAAATGCAAATCGACTCCAAAAGTGTCCAGCGAATGTGCTCACATTGAGCTGAGCAGTGAACGGACTGACGCTCAGCACTCAAACCTCACTGCGCATCGCCTTTTATTGATTACCTCAATGACGATTTGGCCACCTATAAGTTCTTGATTTTTTGTTACTTATGAGTATACTTATAAGGATGAAATCATTAACCGTAAAGTTAACGGAATACCGCCACGATCACCTTGGGGATTCCGCCAACGTTTGCACGGCGCTACACTGGAGGAGCAGTATTTTCCTGAAGCTTAGACGGATTGACAGATGACATTGGTATCTCGGTGACAGCGCCGGCTGATGACTTGCAACAGACCTCTGCACCTTCGCCTCCCGATCTTATTCCCTCAGGTCTACATCGAACCAAGCATCCGTAGATTTGCCACTGTTGGTCGCTACAACAGTGTTAGTCGGGACATTATCTGGTACACCGAGAACTTCCACGGAGGATACCACCGATGCCGCAAGATGTCCCACTCGATTTGATACCCACCAGATTGCTGACTGTTATATCTAACTGCTGTCTCCCGCTCCAGGGCGTTGGTGTCAGAAAAAGACCAGCCAACAAAGAATGCAACAGTTTTGTTGCTAACACGTGAGTGCAACAGTTACAAGGACTTGTGCTATTACAGTTACAAGGACCTTGTGCTATTGAAACGGCACCTCCCATCCAGGTTGTTGCTGAATTGAGTGATTGATTGGCTGGCCTGGATGCTTGCCGCCTTACCTGTTCAGATGTTGGTGGAGTTTGAGGGTTTCAGTAGGTTTGGAACATTCTGGGACTTGACCTGTACAATCTCAAAAGAATTACTCGTGAATTTGAAATTCAGATGCGACGATATTAATGAGCTGGTGGGGCAGCGTTTGAGTTCAGCTGTTAAACTGACTGACCGTCAAACCTCTAGGCATCTAAAAGTGAAATCGATCCCCGACCTTTCCAGCCAGTTCCACTACTTCAGAACGCTATATTCAATCTCGTCTAATTTTACATGTAGGTGCTTTGTCACCGATCTTGGCAGAACTGAGAGTAGACTTCGATTCTGACGGGTGTAGCACATCCCGATTGCCATATGGCGGAGTATGAATCGACCCGCCTCACCGTGCTTAAATACAAATCCAGATTCAGAGGCACGTGCGTAATAGATGCCGGCTTCAGGCTTAAAACTGGATATTTTTCGATCCGGTCGCGATGCCGGTTAGCGAAGGCCCATCAGATGGCTTTCGCCACCGGACCTAGTTAGTCGTTTCGCCCAACCGACCGCCAGAAGGCTACCGTCAGCAATAGTTTACCCGTGGAAAGTCATTTTGAGAGGCCGGCCAAAAAATCTACCAGGGACGTGACTCCCAGAAACAGTGGGATGTGAACATCGGCTGTATAAAATAAGGTCATAGCTGTTTGGAAGCTATGAACTGGGTTGAGTACTGAAAAACTCCAATTAACTGAACATTCAACAGGCAAATGAAACTTGTTTGTTTGTTTACCTGTCGTTTCGGCTGGTGGTTATCGATTGATAGTTTGCAGTCGGGGTTGGATTCGCTATACGGACCCTATCCATCATCAGCATTTTTCGTCCAGAAACGGATACAGCCGCAATAAGGAGATTGACGTGCACTTCACTTCTTCCCATAAAAATCCTCGTAAAAAAAGCATTTGCCCAATATTATTAACTACTAATGAGTAACTAAATCAGCTGTACAAACAGGCCTCACTTCGTGCTCATCAGGCGAATGTTTGTCAGTGAACGTTTATACGTTATTCCAAATTGAGGATTTGCATTTCATCTGCTTGCGTTTTGTTCTACACTGCAAACTGATTATCAGACAATCGATGGCGTCCGATACTGCAAAAATCTTTTACTTAGTTGTGCCGGTGAGTGCACCCGTAAGATTTAGGCCTGTGTTGATTTAAATCAGAGCATCGTTCCTTGATTTAACAAGATTCGGCATGCACGAACTACATACCTGTGACGTTACACTCATTCTGGGGCGGTGCTCGATAAATGACTGAAGTGCCTTGTTCCGTATGATGTTTAGGAGGTCTTACAACTTATGGGGCAATGCGCAAAATTAAACAATGTCCACCAGTCGAATAAGATATATATTACTAATACAAGACTAAATGATGAAAAAAATAACCTATTTTACAATGGGGGAGCGTAAACCGCTTGGTGGGGATCGGAACGCTAGGGTGATTCACTGGGCATCGTATGGATTACGCGGTTCCAAAGGCGATAAGATGTGTCGTACATACCCAGAAAAATCGCACCACCCAAAGCCAGGTAGGATACTCTAGGCACAATTCCTCTGAACAAGCTGAAAAGAAAACGTGGGCGGATGTATTAGCACCACATGCAGTTTGGAAGGTAAAATAACGGCGAGTTCTCGTTACAGAATGATTAAGGGAATGATACCTGGAACAAGGTTGTAAAAATAGACTTGAGAAAAAACGAATTTGTAAGGAAATTTCTCGGTTAACTCTCTTTCCATGGTATAACTAATAGTAATGCTGAACAGTGAGAGATGGGATTTCTTTTTACGAAAATACGGGCATACACGTATATGAAGGCGTTTTTTTTTGCGTGACTGCATGATCTTGCCGCTAGGTCAGAGTGGAGGAGACTAGTTGGTATGAAGAATGTACAAACGACGGAGAACATGGATGAGTTACGGTAAACGATACTGGGAGTTAAAAACTGCATATGAGATTAGTTTGAGACCTCGTCTAAAGTACGTAGGCCATTTCAGAGCAAACTACAGAAGAACCGATAGCACAACACACAACAGCAAACTAACTTAAAGACGAAATTGCGACGGCCCTAATTAAAATGACGCAGGTTCCCATCTATCAACTAACCCTCGTATCCGGGGGCGAGATGGTTCAAGTGGTTAGAGCGCGAATTTGCTGACCGGAAGGTCCGTGGTTTGAACCCGACCTCTGCCTCTCAACTTCCCTTGTCTAGGCTTGGGCAACCTGACAGTATCTCAGCCCTCGTGCTCCCTGTGGGTGGCACGAGGGCTGTGGCAGCTAGGCACCGAAAGGGTGTTACAGCTGAATGATTATTATTATTGATTAACCCTCGTATCCGCCTGTTTGAGTCATTGACCGGGGTGTGAGCCTTGGACTGGAGTTTTAGTGATTTATAAAAATCTGATGGAGTAGGACACTCCTGATTGGTTAATTCACCTACGCGCAAAATTCCGAAGGGTGGAAGGTTTTTGCAATAATATTGATGCTTGTTGCAAATATGAAAGAATCCGTCCAGAGATTTCCCGGCAATATTTGAAGAAATATGGAGCGAAGGCTAATGCACAAAGTAACAACTTAATATGTGAATAAGTAACTAAAATACACGCACACACTTCCTTCAAGCAAGATAAAACTTGTAACTCAAATTTGAAAATTACGTCCAGCGAATGAGAGCAACACTCGTTGTGGGCTGTCGCCAGATTGTAACCGACAGTATCACGCTTCACATAATTTACAGTAAAACAGCTTGACGGTAGAGTAGGGATCCTGGAATACTAGAAGCAGGTAAGCGTTCGTTTCTCTTCTGGGAACAAGGAAAACTCACATGTCAACACGAGATTTAAGTAGATATGCAAGGTATGTATATGCGAACTGCCTGAGTACCATTCAATCAATTCGAAAATCGAGCTCACGTTCAAGAGTAGTGAGGGTGAGTAAAAAAACAGTCATATGCCGAGGAATTATAAAAATTCAATTAGAACGAACCCGCGCAGTCCCAGCTCGCGAAAAACCGTCTTGAGCGCGGTCACTATGTTTCCGGACGCCAAAGGGGTGTGAGCCTGTGAATCGAGGATTAGTTAAGAATCCGACCTACTCACCTCGGCAAGCATAATGCGGGTCTTTGCCACATCTAAAGGAGTCGTCAGAGCTCCAGCAATGGCTCCAGACAGGCTTCCACAGAGTGCTGACTGCCAAAAATGCAATTCGTGGGGATTTGCAAAGCCAGAAACTGGATGGCCTTGAGGCTGATGCCGCTGATTCCACCGAATTGTGAGGAGCTTGACAAGTTGTTTTTGGGACAAGAAAAGGGTGCTAACTGAGATCGTAGTACTGGAATAATAGACAATTATTTATGTTAGCATGCACAAATTCCCTCATTTAAGTCCTGATACTCTGTTCGATTTCTGAACACAGGTTGACAAGTATTCTCCGCTTTAGTGGGGTCACTTTTGCTAGTTACGCCGAGATCGGATGTGTGGTCAGCTTAGCTTGAAGATAAGTTACGTTTTTAGTGACACTGAAGACGAAGCAGAAAGTTCAACCGTGAGTTCCTGATCTAGGGGAATACCTCCACCGGGTTGCGGTTGTCGAAGGCCATATATGAGTGTTAATGTGGGTTCCTTTTAAACTGATTCGAAGTGATAGGTTCACATTTCTAACAACGATACACCATCATCATTATTGTCAGTTGTAATAGCCGCGTACTCGTCGTACAATGGTTGTGGCTGCCAGTTCCATTCACCGATGATTCGGGGAGGTGGGGAGGTAGCTGCGCATTGGAGGCGAGTTGATAGATTGGTTCGTAAATACAGAACTGTCGACGGACTGTTAAGTGGGGGGTTGGGAAGAGAGCTATGCATTGAAGGCGATAGCTTCGATGCATGAGCGCCATTGAGGGCGCGACTGGGCCGTCTGACACTGCCTCTGATCATTGATATGACCCGCCTGGGGTCCCTATCCAGGAAGACGGTAGTGACCAGCACAGCTGAGTTTGCTGGCAATGGCTTTCACCCCTGCCAAGTCATTGTTTGACCGCCTCTGGCTCTCTTCCAACCTTCACGTGGTTGGGGGAAGAGAGCCCTTCGAGGAAGTCGGTCGACTGGCATACGCAACACGTGGCCAAGCCAGCGCAACCTGTGCAGTGTGATTAGTTCATCTATCGAGAGTGAGTTATTTCTCCCGAATACCATTCGATGTACTTCAGAATTGCTGATCCGGTGTTCCCACCAGACTCGGGCAATGCTCCGAAGACATTGATGGTCACACACTGAAAGTCTTTTGACGTCCTCGGCGCGCAGCGGCTCCATATAATAATATGGAGAGCACCGCAGCGTTGTAAACTCGCCCTTGACAGAGAATCTGATGTCAGGCCTATGCCATATGTGACGTAGGTTTACAAAAGCTGCTCCGGCCTTCCCAATTCGGATGAAAATATCATCTTTCGCGAGACCACCGGGACTGATACAGCCGGCCAGGTAAACAAATTTGTCTACTACCTCAATCGGTTCATCCGCAAGCATGAGGCTAGGGTCCGAGCCCACCCAGTCTTGCAGTAGCACTTTACACTGCAGGCGTGAAGCGCGTGCCCAACCGTGAGGCAGAATTGAATTATCACGGGGTCATATCCCAGAAGAGCTATGTCGGAGTACTCGATATCTGTGAGCGGAAGCCCCGGGAGCACTTCGACTCCACAGGCATTAGAGGTTGGTAGTGAGTCTCCCATCATCGCATGAATGACGAAGTTGAAGAGGACACCACTTGATGTGGTAAACTCAGGCGAGAGCTTCCCGTAGACCTTTACATGGCCGCGGGAGTTGGCGTACAGCGCCTTAATGAGGGTCAAGAATTTATGGGGGACATCTTTACTCCACAGACACTGTCATGGCGCCTGACGGTCCACAGAGTCAAAGACGGCTTTCAGATCAAGAAACACAACCATTGTTGGCTACCGGAAGCAGTGTCGCTGTTCCAGAATTTGTCGGAGGGTGAAGATGTGATCGATGCAACCTCACAGAGAATCTGATGTCAGGCCTATGCCATATGTGACGTAGGTTTACAAAAGCTGCTCCGGCCTTCCCAATTCGGATGAAAATATCATCTTTCGCGAGACCACCGGGACTGATACAGCCGGCCAGGTAAACAAATTTGTCTACTACCTCAATCGGTTCATCCGCAAGCATGAGGCTAGGGTCCGAGCCCACCCAGTCTTGCAGTAGCACTTTACACTGCAGGCGTGAAGCGCGTGCCCAACCGTGAGGCAGAATTGAATTATCACGGGGTCATATCCCAGAAGAGCTATGTCGGAGTACTCGATATCTGTGAGCGGAAGCCCCGGGAGCACTTCGACTCCACAGGCATTAGAGGTTGGTAGTGAGTCTCCCATCATCGCATGAATGACGAAGTTGAAGAGGACACCACTTGATGTGGTAAACTCAGGCGAGAGCTTCCCGTAGACCTTTACATGGCCGCGGGAGTTGGCGTACAGCGCCTTAATGAGGGTCAAGAATTTATGGGGGACATCTTTACTCCACAGACACTGTCATGGCGCCTGACGGTCCACAGAGTCAAAGACGGCTTTCAGATCAAGAAACACAACCATTGTTGGCTACCGGAAGCAGTGTCGCTGTTCCAGAATTTGTCGGAGGGTGAAGATGTGATCGATGCAACCTCTTGCCCGACGGAACCCAGCTTGGTTTTCACATAAAAAGTAAAGCGAACGAGCAGCGTCTAAATAATTGATATTTCAGTGCTTACTGGTGGCGTACGGACGAGCGGTGTGCTGATCAACTTGAGAGGTTGCATTTTTACCGGGAACTCCGGTACCCCTTACTCTACGAGTTCCAAACGGACGTCAAACACTTCAATGATCGATAAAGAGTACACTCGTATTAACCAAAAGAGTTGTTTATATTACTATCACTTGTGTTATCATATCTACCCTTGAGTGAAAAAGGTGCGCTAACAAATATGACTAACCTTCAGATGCTCCCATATGGGAAACTGAATAAAGGAGAACGGGATTTCACGAAGTACGGTGCTGAGGTAACCTCGATACAAACCGAAGACTCCCTGTGTAAGGACGGAGAAACAGAAAAGATGGTACAAGGATGATGCGCTAAAACGGAAAAAGATGCCTGTTCTCTAGGATAATGAGAATAGTCATTCAACTATTACACCCTTTCAATGCCTAGCTGCCACGCCAACCGAAGGCAGGCAGAATGAGGGCTGAGATACTGTCAGACCAGATAGTAGCCATTGAGATGCCGGGGTTGAGTTTGAACCACAGACCTTCCAATCAGTAAGTTCGCACTTTAGCCGCTGAGTTACCTTGAGTTCATACAGTTAGTCGACAATAAACCGCCTTTGGAGCTCACCCGACGACCACCAGACATACACGTGCAGCCTGAGGGCACACCGCTGGAAAGGAAGGAGAGGGCTATCTGTATCAGTCTCTGCGATCCATTGTGTGTGTGTTTTAACCACAGCGAAGGGAAAAACAAACACGAACCATACCGTCGGACAAGTACAGACGAGCAGGACAGAGCCAAACAACTGATGCGTTTCTGGGCAGTGCATGCGGATGCAGCGTCGCTGCACACAGAAACCATGAGGGTTGAAGTTTACACGGCACTCAGCAGGCCTCACTTGCTTTTGCCAGGTACTGAGTTCATGCACCAAAATAGTATGAATACAGCTTGAATGGATCCACGTGACAATCCAACTCAACCTATTGCTAGCGTGCACTTCTGCACTTCCAACCAACGCTCAAAAACAGTCTGAACGACACATTTGACCGATAAACCGGTGTTGGGTTGAATCTTTGACAGCGAGTTTCGTGCTAAAATAGCTCCCAAGTGTGCAGCAATCAGATCCTCAACAGCCGTAGATATGACAAAATTAGTGTCATAAGAGGATGAATTCACCAGGTATCCGCCGCTTCACAAGTCGCACTGACTTTCGGTATCATCACTATAGTAGCATAAAAGTGATTAATTTACACTACTTATATTTATTTCCAGTGTCAGATGACGCCACGTTGGCGTGCTACACTACAATTTATATCGTTCCCCCTCGTAATCCACATTTGAGTTTTCCCAAGTAATCTTTCGGAGATGGTCCATCTCGAAAAAAGATACGGATCGTACAGTACGCCCCGGGCTTCACTCAAAATCGGGTACTATCCTAAAGCAAAGATATCCCACTTGGTCACAAGGTAGCTGTTGATACCATCCGCTGTCAGTTGCAACCGTGGCTTTCACCCGTCAAATGTTGTCCTTCTGGAGCTAACTTGACCGCAGATTTCATGGGAATGATATCATCAAGTCACATTCGTGCTGATGCTCAGAGGGACCAGAGCGGAGTTGCTAGAAAACTCGCAGGAAGATGTTCGCTATCATTCGTGTGCATGGAAAACCTGGCCTAATCCGACTAATTTCAAACCAAGTTTTCGGTGATGATTTAATGTGCCGAATGTTTGACAGGCAATTCCAGGGAAACCAGCACTTCAATGTCTGAGTGGGTAACGGAAAAAAAGGCAAACACCAGAATTGGCGCGTAGCCAACTGACATCAGACTGTAAAAATTCATACCCCCAATTTTCTACAAAGCAGTGTGATTGAAAATGTTTTCTGATTTAGCAAGATCAGTTAGCTACCGAATCTGACCTCACAATAATCTCCTCGTTCACTTACCTAGTCCGTCTATGTGCTTTTGATCCCCATTTGTTTCGCTCATTTGTACGTGCCTTGCCGCTTACACCGTCTTGTTCGACACTTGTAGATTAACATGAGCGTGTGAATGTGAGCAGCCGACCTACTTACTCGTGCGTGTTCGCAACTCCTTTGCTGAGCCTGTCCTGACTTGTTCTGCCATGAGTTCCGTGTCACTGCACCAACAAACAGAATCACGAGACTGTCCTTGAAAGGGACGGCCGCAACCCACACTACAAAGCCAACATTCCGCTCGCCGCTGTTTAGCGTGCGGACCTTGACACCGCATTGTGCCGGTCAATGCCAGACTCGTGCATATGTCGACGCCACGAAAATGGACAAGTGAGGTTTATTTTATAAGTGTACTACCTTCGTGTCAGTAATACCGTAGGCTTTGAGCCCAATTCTTCCTTCTGGTGGCATGGCAGTAGGCACCGAAAGGGTGCTACAGCTGAGCAGGCTTTTTATATTCAGTATTGTCCAACCTAAGCGTGACTCAAAGTTCCGTACCGGACACCTCAACATTGGCTGATAAACTGCAAGGTGCAAACCTACTACTCACTGTCTACGTGGATAGCATCCTTCAGTAGATTATTAATTGTGGGTAAATAAATATTAGGGGGTTCGGACTAGAAACCTGGGGAACAAGTGAACGGACAACCTACATCAGGTCACATTGGTAATTAAATCTCTCAAACCATTGATTAAAGCCGGGGCTCCAACCAAGTCATTAAAACATAAAATGAGCACATCATCTGAAATGCTGAGAGAAAGAACGCCACAAATATGTCTTAAGCCGCGCTGCCTTTTTTCCTACGCTGCTAACAAAGCCAATTTTTCGGTTCCTAATAAGGAGAACTAAGAAAGAAAACAATTCCAAATTGGTCAATCCGATCTGATCAGGTTGTCACAATAAAACAGTACATTAATTAAACTCACAGCAGCCTCTGTTCTGTTAAAATTACCAGGAATTTTACATTAGCCAAATAATCATTTTATCAGCTATGAACCACGTACATTGGTTTCAGCTGGTACAATTTAAATCGCCGGAAAGCCGGAGAGCGTGGGATATACAGCCAGGCCTTGGAGGCGATGACATGTTCAGTTTCTTCGGGAATCAGTTAGATACGCATTGAAGACGATAGCTTTGATGCACGAGCGCCACTGGCCATTTCTGCCAGTGTCATTAACTATTGGTGATTTGAGTCCTGGGGGTCACCATCCAGGGAGGCAGCAGTTGTCTACCCGACTGAGCTGACTGGTCAGCGTTTTCATACTTTGTCGCCAGGTGATACACTGTCCACCTCATGGTTGCTTCTACTCAACACAGAAATGGGTTAAAGGAGTCCTGTGGGTCAGACATGTACATGTTCTAACCAGCGTAAACTATGAAACATGAGTATTTTATTCATCTTGGGAGAGTTCCTTTCTCTTAAAGCCATCTGCTGTACCTCAGTATTGCTAATCCGATGTTCCCACCAGACCCGATCAATGCTTCGAAGATACCAATAGTCAAACACCGACAGACTTTGTATGTTCTCAGCGCGCAGAGACCAAGTTTCTTACCCGTGACGCAGTATGAATCGCAATGCCGCGTTCTGCACTGACATAAACTGACATCACATCAGCGCTCTAGGTGTCCGAGGTTGGTAAAAGCTGTCCTGGCCTTCCAGATTCCAGAAGTAATCTCATTTCCAACCAGTCCACCGGAACTTATACAACTGTTCAGGCAAACAAATTTATCTACCACGTCGATTGGCCCCCCTGCAAAACATGAGTTCTGGGTTTGCTCCCCCGTCTTGTGGCAGCACTTTGCCGTTGCAGATGTGTTGTGCATGCCAGACCATGCGGTAGAATTAATTAGGTTATTTAAAATGGTTTGTAGCTTTGAAGGATCTGAACCAAGAAAGGCAATATCGTATGCATAGTCAATGTCCGTGAGCGAACGTTCCGGAAAGAGTTCGACCCCTGAGGTTTCAGAGGCAGGCAGGGGAATTTCAAGCAGCAAATCAACAACAGAATTGAAGAGGAAAGTCGAGATGGGGCAGCCATATCTTACACCACTGGGGGTAGTAAACTCAGGCGAAAGCTGGTCGTACACTCGTTTGCGCCCATAGGAGCTAGCACACAGAGCTCTAATAAGGGATACAGATTTGGAAGCCTCAACATTGATCGCCAGACACCGTCAAGGTTTCTGACGACCGATAGTCAAGAGTAGTTTTCAAATTTAGAAAAACTAACAGTGGCGAACGTTTCGAAGAATGGCGCTGTTCAAGGACTTGCCTCAGTGTAAAGATATGGTCGATGCATTTTCGGCCAGGATACGATGCAGTTTCGGAGGTAAAACAGTCATTCGTAACCAACAATGACATCTGACAAGCTGGTACAACATAACAGATTGCGCAAAAGAAATTTTCACACAACAGAACATTAACCGATACAACGTGGATGTTCGATGTAGTTCAGTGGAGCAGTCCATCAGCGTTTGCTTGCAAGATACAACGAACTTAAAAGTTGTTCATCTTTTACGAAGTCAAAAGTGCGATACTTCGGACCTTATCTGGTCTGTTTGTAATCAACTCTTTAATTAACCTTGTTCTATTCTCAATCAATTGGAAAATGTTTGGGACCGATTGGGAGGCCATTAAGGGCCCGGTCATTGTATCGTCTACGGAATTCTACAACGGAACTGGGTCAGCCTGTTAACAGTCTCTCGGGCGCATCGGTGAGTCGAGACTCATCGGCTCGCAGGAAACAGTCGCTGTAAAGAAAACTAAGTATTTGAAGAGGGTGTACTTCTAGGCAACATTTTGCATGCTCCTATCGAAATTTCCAAACAGTTCCTGGATGACCATCAATGTGGGGAAAATACCTGTGGGCGTAGGCGGTCTGTACACTTTTTGACATTAATCAGCGCCGGTGAGCTGAACTTCCTACTAAAATTCAAGTACCCTAGGTTATTATTTGATGCAGCCAATCATTTTATACATATTGGCGATCGCCTTTCAAAGTGGGTATAAAGAATCCTTCTTTTTTCTTTAGTGAGAGTGACTTTGCCACGAGTACCAAATCATCTGGATCAGTCCAAGAGCCCGAAAAATTATAGCCAACAAATGCTTCACATACTATCTCGATAACACTCAGAGCTATTTAATCCAGGAGTACCTTGTTCGAACAGAAGGAAAAACTTTCTGCCTATTTTACAAGTTAGCCACGGAAACTGATCCAAGGAAGAAGACGAGCTCAAGTTTAAGCAGAAAACCGCGATATTTGTGTAGTTCACTACCAACTCCTCATCACTCAATTTTTACCCGTGACTCTTTCCTGTATGATACAAACTTCCACCGCGGCCTCTTGTGCATATTATGTTTTGTTATGGTAGGCAGCCATAATTATTAAACAAGCCTAATTAGCAAGCAAGCTAATGGACCTGAATCAATCGGTGCCACAGTGCTTTGCCCCAATTATTTTCAGGTCTAATCAGCTTGGATTTATGATGGATGACACAAGAATCGATGCAAGATACCCTAAGTAGCACGTGTGTGTTTAGTGAGACAGCTCAATGTGACCGGTACACTCGGAAACGAAGTTCCACTCAGGACGTAACGGAAAATTGAGGAATCTGACAAAACCACGAGTTACTTTTTAGGGTTTGGCGTATGATCTCTCGGTTTAATATCCTGATGGTCTGAACCACATTTCGAGTATTTTCGAGTGATTTCTGCCCAGTGCTTTGGTGCTAACCGTGTACTGAGGACGACAATTCACGCCGAAATAACCAGTGGTTCATGGAGGCGGGTATTATTCAATTAAGGAAAAGCCACTAGGCCTGAAAAGTACAAGTAAGTCGTAGCATATCAAGAACGGGGTACTTATTGATTGCCAGAACCGCTGGTAAGAGGAAGATACTATGGAAAAGCTAATAACACTCACAGGATGCATTTGACTCACCTCAGTATTGACGGCCCTTGAAAAGATTGCTCGCATGGCAAGGTGGGGAGAGTTCTGAGCCCGTTGTTTCAAAACTTCACATGGTACACGGACAACACAAGCCGCCTATGGAAAGTCAGGACTGTTCAACAATTATATCTGCCCACATACAACTTCTGCCAAGCAAGCAGCCCAAACGCTGGAACAGATTGGTGGCATACCTACGGAATAAACTTCATTCTTGACGAATTCATATGTTAGAAAGAACACGGCAGCTGCGGAGTCGGTTACAGGAAGAAACTTAGCACTTACCGCCAGGAGCAGACCCCACTAGGACAGCGGGAAGTCCAGCAAATAAGCGCTGGTTGCCAGGTACACGTTGAATGCTGTGTTGTGCACTCTGGATTCGGGTTTTGATGGTATCGATGGGAAACAAACTGACATCTACACATAAACCAGCTGTAGCTCCCGCCTGGAATAACAACGATGTAGTAACTATGGGGCAATTAATGAGCAATTACAAGGAACGCCTTCAAGTTGTATTCGAACATCGAAAGATTAGGCCGAAGGGTTCGTCATTCTCAAACCGACGAGTGGAGGGAAAGTAGATATAATCGGGCCAAGCCTCGGTCAATGCTGGAAAACAAGGGTAATGAAATCGAGTGTATGGGCACAAATTAAAAAGACCAATATGTGATAAGTTTGATGTGAATGTTGTTCGCTTCAGATAACTAGCTCAAAATAGTTAGCTGTTACAAAGATGATCAGTTTGATTCACCTCAGGAGAAAAACAAAGATCCTGCGTCGGGCTGCCATATAACCCAAAGGACAGATGCCGGTTAAAGCTCTGGATCTGACGGGAGCATTCCAAGAGGCGGATAAAATAATCGTTCATCTGCAAAACCCTTCTGATGCCTAACTGCCATGCTACCCGAAAGAAGCAGTAGGGCTGGGATATTATCCAAGCCTAGACAGGGGAAGAGGAGAGGCAGAGGTCAGGTTCGAACCACGGACCTTCCGGACAGTAAATTCGCACTCTAACCACTTGAGCCATCTCAAGGCAGATGTTTGGAAAGAAAACTGAAACAATGTGATCTACACTGGGGACTTCGCTAGGATAACCGGATTAAAATAGTCAACGAAAATGTACTATATTGAAGAATTACATGAAGCCCTTGGCACCTGATCGGGAAAAATGAGTCGTGATAGCCTTCAGGTTTCACCGTCGGGTCATTCTTTCAGTGTTGTCCTTTTTCAACACGATCCACGAAAAGAAGAGGTAGTGTAGATGCTCGAGCACGATTTCCAACGTTACTAGCGGAGTAAACGAAAGCGAAATACTTTCCTCGAATTATTAGTGGTGAGTTCACGAAATACATAGTCCAATAAATATGTTGATCAAATGTTGCTGCCAAATAAAGCCGATGCCTCAGTGGACAGCATTGGTCCGATACGGCTGGACCTCTGATATTCTGCAGCAACCGAGTGAAAAGCAGTTAAAAGTGTGATTTGAGTCGAGTGCTTATCTGACCCGGTTCTATGTGCCATTGGCTCATTACCACAACCAAACATAACAGAACTAGAGATCTACGATCCAGAAGAGAATCACATTGAATGCTTCAAAGATTTAAGCATTCTTCCATCACTTCTTACTATCTCCATATTTATCTAGTGTCGGGGGATGAGATGAGAGCGTAAAAAGACTTCGTGTACGAAAGCGGGAGCTTCAAGCCCAAAATATGTTACTCTAGACTGAACTCAATGAAGTTTGGGTCTGCTCGAGCCGAGCGTTTTCCCACGCTACCGAACAACTTGCACCAGAAGTGTTTCTCCGAACTGGGGTCAGAGAGTCTATGATGTGGGAGTGAACTGCGTAGGTTTCTCCAGTAAACAAGTGGTCGCTCCGTCAGTTTAGGGTTGTTATGCTATCCATAGGAAGAACCGGGAGTGGGTTACTTCTGGGTGGCCCAGACACGAGCAAGCGAAAAGGAGTGGATCTGACGTAGCAAACCGTGCCTGAAGCTCTGCGCCGCATTGAGCCAATTAAGCTATAGATAGGTGCCCCGTGAAGGTTAACCCATTTTCAAAGTTGCAAGACTCCTAACTGCAGTAATTCGGATCCCCGAACGCTGATGCGTTCCAGGTGTCCCAGTCAGACCAAAAAAGAGTAAAATGGGTGCCTAGCATTATTTGAAGTCAATCTTTCAGCTATAAACTGCGGACCAATATTAGAATCATTCAGACTGCTGTATTTGACCAGGCATCGGTATGAAGAAGAGACTGGACCTTACCGTGGTGTGGCGGTTTGTGTACCTCGACGACCCGTTGAGCTATACTGGGGAGTGTCCGCACGATGCTCACAGAGTCTCTCATACCAGGTTGGTCTATGGGTAGAGGTCCGACGAACATAGTCTCCTGGCCCTCCAGGTTGGGGGTTGGAACATGTATGGCGACGTGTTCCGTAAAAAAATGGTAATGTGCTTGCATTTCCAGCCGAACACCGCTGCCTTGCGGTTAGGCTTTTGAGCCAAAGGCTTTGGATGAGGACCCTAATCGTCCTCCTGTCTAGGTGTGGGCGCCCTGGTAGTATCCCAGTACACATACAACCACGAACTGCCTATTGGTAGGAAATCTGAGGGAGCAGTCCGGGACTGGAGGCGGTGACCCAGCTAGTTTGCTGGGGCGAGTTGCCATACTTTTATGATGAAGTAAGAACTGCGAACCAAAAGCGACACATAAGTGCTGGTGTCCACATGACTGGACCACTATCAGCATCACTAACCTGTTAACGGTGTGCATCACGACCATAATCGACCCTTGGTTCAAGTTTATCGAGCACGAAAAAATTCCTAGGCCTACGTGGCTAAACACATATACGGCTGTACGCCAAGCCGCAAGCCGTAACGACTGCGTTTCACGAGTACCGCGATGCTATGCTTCCCCTTTTAGCTGTTCACCAAACGCTTTAATAACCAGAATAACTTCAACCAACGACATCTGTGGATAAAAAACGCAAACGCGCGAACGCGCCCCTGTGGACTTAACCCGGAGTGATCTTAGTAAAAACAAATGGCCAAGAAGGTCTCATCCACCGAACTGGCAGTTACCAATAAGACTGAATGGTCGAGGTTCTCACAAAATGGGGGGGCGAGATGGCTCACTGGTTAGAGCGCGAATTTACTAACCGGAAGGTCCCAGGTTCGAACTCGACCTCTTCCTGTTGACTTTCCCTGTCTAGGCTTGGGCCACCTGGCAGTATACCAACCCTCTTGATTCCTTCGGGTGGCATGGCAGCTAGACACCGGAAGGATATTACAGCTGAACGACCTCACATAACGTTGCCACGCTTGGTATTTAACCCATTCTCGAAAGAGAGTGCAGGAAGGCCCAAGGCAAATGGTCCTCGGACATACAATGCGCGTGGCTATATTGGTATAAAAGGTGGAGCGCAAAAAGCTCACCGCCGATGAGTTCCACCTGAGATGACCATCGCGTCTCAACATAACATCCAACGTTTCCACCTAATGCACCGAACGTTTAAAGTATTCAGACAAATTCCGCGCTGAAAGACTTCATCTCCGACACATACTGACCATCACTGACAGCAATACACTGGCAACAAACGACAGCTCTCAACTGCCATGCAACCATCAGGCGATAAAGCAGAGTGGGAAGAAAAGGGAAGGGTAGGCACGAAGCCCTATGTCCTAAAGAAAGACGACCAAGAGCAGGGCACCTACGCCATTGGACAGCATATCCGAGAAATTCTGATGAATCAAGGCGCTATCAACGAGACTGGCACAACGTCCTTTGCGAACCACATCAGACATCAGTCCGGAAAATGATGATAGGCAACGTTTAGGTACTCATTCCGGCTAACAATTGACATCATGGGTGCCACGTGCTAGCAATACTGCTTAGGCCTCAGCTAAGAAGCCGTAAAGATCCAACAACACCCATTTAGTCATGCCGTGTCACTGATTATGGTGGTTTGAGATATGTAACAGGCGCTCCAGCCCCTCACCATGTGTTCGGAAGACAGCCGGTTAATGTAACAACTATAGCATGCAAGCTATGGAAGCACAAAGGGACAGTGATTCTCCCAAGGAAGGTGGGTAATCACGACAATTTCTGAGGATGGAAAACAGAAACAGGCCAATTAGCCAAACACCCATTTAGTCATGCCGTGTCACTGATTATGGTGGTTTGAGATATGTAACAGGCGCTCCAGCCCCTCACCATGTGTTCGGAAGACAGCCGGTTAATGTAACAACTATAGCATGCAAGCTATGGAAGCACAAAGGGACAGTGATTCTCCCAAGGAAGGTGGGTAATCACGACAATTTCTGAGGATGGAAAACAGAAACAGGCCTAATTAGCCAAAACCCGGTACATCACCAATGCTCACACGTATATCAATCAAACTGACAGAAGGCGCATACTACGCAGGACCACGCCGCCTGCACGGATGTGCCATCCGGGCTACGGACCAAACGAAGGCATGCGCTGATTAGTCAGAATTCCAGCCAGTCAGGATAGGGCTTTCACTGCACTACAACCAGCTGACTGTATCTACGCTTCTCAGACGGCTTCTAATGTTCTCGGATCGGAGGGTCCATGGGAGTCACGCATACACAGATTGATTCGCAGGAATGAGGCTAAACCTCAAGTTTCCCGGGTCGGGTTTGTTTTTGCCGTTCGGCGGCTTCCGTTCCCCTGAAGGGCACAAGTGATAAGAGGTGAAACACTACTCTCTATGCCCTCAGCGCAAAGCAGTGAGCTTCCCAGAAGGAGGATTCATATAAAAGGGGTCTAGAAACACTCTGAACTGGCTATTAGACGCAGCGGGAACAATCATCCGAGGAAGGCTAGTCCTCGCACGAGCTCCCGGAAACGAGATAAACTGCTGTCTGATAAACGTGCATGTTGTGTGCTTGTAGATCTTCGTGCCATCTCCCCGCTGTGTATCGCTTAAGTCAACGGTCAAAACCTGTTGGCCAGACTCCTTTCAAACTGGGCATAAGTAAGCATTATGTTACTTCGAAGGTTGTGATGTATGCATTGCCCTTTAGAATCCTATTGATGCCTCGCAGAAGCCATATGTACGTTACGTCAACGAGACCCCCCATGATCTTCACAACTCAATGTGAGGTTTAATTTTGCGCGAGACTGACTTGGCTTACCCAGGTGCACAAATATGTTAATTCACCTACCACTTCGACTGGCCTGCCTGTGAGTATGAGGTGTGAAATAGCCACCGCGGTGCCTCATACGCTTACGCTGTTAGGTAGAAAGGTCATGCTGCCAAACTACTTAAGAGTGCTATATTTCTCTGTGGCTCTGTTCTAGTAAACCAACTACTGCGCACTAATGAGCCGACTGATTGTAGGGGTTTTTTTAATTTTGGGGTGTCGGAGGCAGGTAAAATAGGTTCAGGCAATATAGAGTTGGCGAGTCGAGGACTTCGGTTTATTCAAGTCTCACGAAGGGGGACATTGGGGCTGCAAAATTACAAATTATTACCTAATGTGACAAGCACAAGGGTGATGCG